GGTTCCGGAATTGATTCTTCGCCCAGCTCTACCGCCAACTACCTAAAGGCTTGGCATTCTGTTTGAATTTCAGAGAAGCACATCGATACGAAAACAGCATTAGGTGTAGATGTTGGAACATAGCAGAAATCAGTGAAAAGACAAAATAACAAACAAAAATCTTTGCAAAACAAAAGTTTATTGCCTGATTTTTAAAAATCATGTGACGTAAAGTATCACATCTTATGATCAGCTTTGTCGTCAACTGCAAACACGACACAAAAACAAAACAAAACAAACCAAAACTATCTTTTACTATAATAAACAAAATATGTATACAGCACACACAAAATATGTGCAATCCAGGCGGAGAGAGAGAGAGAGAGAGAGAGAGAGAGAGAGAGAGAGAGAGAGAGAGAGAGAGAGAGAGAGATAGAGAGAGAGAGAGAGCGGGGGGGGGGGAGAAAGGAGAGGGTGAGGAGAGAGAGGGGAGAGGGGGAGGAGAGAGAGGAGGAGGAGGAGGAGGGGAGAGAGAGAGAGAGAGAGAGAGAGAGAGAGAGAGAGAGAGAGAGAGAGAGAGAGAGAGAGAGAGAGAGAGAGAGAGATGGGAACACCAATAGAAATATAAGGCATTCACACCTCACACTTGTGCCTCACAGCGTGACAGTGTCCTATACTTATACATTCGTTGTCATTTGTTTTACTTGGTCTACGGACACAATTAATAATAATAATATTATAATATCCTAGACCATGAACTCTCGACGTATTTCCGGATCACCATGGAACCCATCCAAAAAAAGAGGGAGACAAAAAAAAGGGGGGGGGGGCCGTGAGCTCATGACTACTGCAGTACAAGGCACACTGCAGTTATCAATCTTACTATCATTCCACCTTTGCTAATTACCAGAAACGCAGTTTTGTTAGGTGACAAGGCAAATAGGGCAGCTTACGGCTTACGGTTATATCACAGACATAGAGGTCTAAAAGCGTAGAGATCTTTTCTTTTCTTAAAAAACAAAACCCAAAGCAAGTAAAACAAACAAAATAATCCTAAAGAAACAAATCAAAATTAAAAAGCTAAAATAATTCTTCAGGTCAATAGACCATAACGATACTATTATTTATTCCATCTCTCTCTCATCTTCTCTCTCTACCCCCACCAAACACAAAAATCTCAAAAAAAAGAAAGCAATCAAAACTAAAGTAGCAGGGAACACCAATCTAAACCTCTCTTCTCTCAGTTACGAGAATTTTTTTTTTTAAGAAAAAGACCAAACAAAACTACTACTAAAAGCAGGCCCACAAATCAGCTGGCGTGCGCACACCTAACGACCAAAGAGCAAACACTAATAATCAAGACAATAAGGACATACACCATATGTGAAGCGTGCTGACGAAATGAGTTACTTCTCGCAATCCACAAACGGAAATATTGGCCAAAAGTCCACATTATAGGGTCCAATTAGTAGATTTCTATTGATGCCACATTCTTTTTGTACAACGTGTCTTTTATTATTCTACACTTATAAATTGTAAAAACTTCACCCAGTAGCGTGATGTATCTATTTCCATAAGGCTTGGATCCGAGAAGTAACTCATTTTGTCAGCACGCTTCACATATTCAGTGTATGACAACAGAACCTTAGAATCACGTTCATGTAAAATAATGTACACCTTACCGTGGGCAGTGGACACATTTTCTAACGTACAAGAGGCCAGCACTGGCTGTGCAGAACAGTTTTAGTTTCAGTAGCTTTATTTGCTACACAAATAAGTCATATAGGTCTAACGCAAGTACCGAAGATTACATGTGTTACTAGAGAGTAACATACAGAAAAAAGAAGGAGGAGAGATAAGGATGGGAGACGTTTAATAGGAAAGAAAAAAGCAAACCGCACCAGAGCGGCCACCAATCATCCATCCACACAACATAGAAGAAACAAAACATAAATATTTATACCAACAATAGATATTTTAAAATACTTTCGAGGTAAATACCGTGTCTCACGGTGATTTATCAAAACCTAACATTATTATAGTACATCACGTCAGAATCCTAACATGTTTGCCCAAGTCATTTTTCTCCACTTTTTTTTTTTCTTTAAAAAAATCATAAACGGGTGCATTGTCTGTCAACTTTCGTTCTACTTAAGAAGCTGAACGTACGATCCACATCCCAGACATGTACTCCTATACAAAACAAACAGGGATATTTTGCAAAGTACAATATAAACAAACTTCTAAGACGGGAAGCTTCCATTTCTCCTCTGGATGAGGGATACAGCCCAATACAGGACCACTTGAAAGACAACATTTTATTAAATAAACAGCCTTCCCCTCGTGGGCTTTTATGTCTTTTGAAAACCCCCCCCAAAAAAAAGCTTTTCCTGCACACCGCAGGCGTTCGTACACATAGCCTACTTTTGCTAAGTCATTCACTCAATCCAGTTTGTTGCTGTCAATGTCGTTAAAAAACAAAAAAAAACAAAATAAAAACGACTTGGGCAAAGACAGTAGGACCACCTTGATCACTAGAAAGGATCCCTGTCATAAGTACCATTTTCTCATGGTCAAATATCACAGGCAGCTGGGAAACAACAATGTAGAGTAAAATCTTTGTGTATAAATACCGCATCTCACGGCCATTTACAGAAAAAATATAGAAACTGCATGAACAATATAATTGACAGAACCGGTAAACATGTTTCTTTCCAAGATTTAAAACAAGCCATAGCATATCTACAACAATGGCTCAACAACTGATCTACATGGAAGGAAATAGAGAACCACAGCGAGAATAAGAACATTCAACATGTAACAGATCTGGCAAACAGATTTAAAACTAAAGATTCTTTGTACAAGTCAAAACAACAAACAAACACGAAATTACAATATGTAAACGACATTGACAAAAATCCCTGACTTTACAGAGTTGGATTTGCGGTGCACAAAACATGATTAGTTTGTCTTTTTCATTTCAATAGAGAGAGAAGCACTTCGACACAATAATGGTCATTCAGTAGAGAGAGAAGCCCTTCGACACAATAATGGCCATTCAGTAGAGAGAGAAGCACTTCGACACAATAATGGTCATTCAGTAGAGAGAGAAGCACTTCGACACAATAATGGTCATTCAGTAGAGAGAGAAGCACTTCGACACAATAATGGTCATTCAGTAGAGAGAGAAGCACTTCGACACAATAATGGTCATTCAGTAGAGAGAGAAGCCCTTCGACACAATAATGGTCATTCAGTGCGGGACAAAAAGTGAGACAAACAGACAGAAACAGCAGGAGGAAAGTAAAGAAGTATGATCTACCAGCGACACCTTCCAACCAGCCACAAGGATACCTGAGCTGACATTGAAGTGACTAAACAACACAGAGCAGTAAGTAAAACCTACTAGGAATGCCTACAATGGAGGAAGGTGACGCCTCACTGAGATAAAGATAAGACTCAGAACACCTGGGACAAAGTGTTAAAAGTAAAACTATGCACGAGATTTCATGATGAAATATATAAGTGTTGTGCTGACTTGCGGTAAAACACAGCCAAATTCGAACCTGTCTTCCAGGAAACTTACGTCCTCCCATCCAGACTGGGCTCACCTCACTCTGAAACACGGAACAATTATGGAGTACTTTCAGAATGAGAAAAATTTTTTTAAAATAAACCCTTTATGTCAGGAAATGTAATGGTTGGCAGATAGTTTTTTTTATTCCATCAACACAATTTAGATCTTACAGTAGCAAGTCTGCTTCCACCTCGACCTAAAGGGCCAGACTGGGCAGAGAGGGACACAATGTCCCGGCAGACAGATGGAGGCCCAAGTTTTTAAAAAACCTAACCCAAAAAACTCCCTACAAGTGAATCAAACTCACATCTTTTGTTTGCCACCACAAAGCACCTAACCGCTACATCATCATAATTATAATAGTAATAGTTCATCCACCATAAACTGATGATGACCGTTCAGACCCAAGGAGGAAAACAACAGTAGCTGGCATTGTAAAGAGAGAAAAGTAAAGGATATAACAGCAAGCCATCCCAGAAGACGCCCATATAAAGGTTTTAAACCAGAATCAACACAGTTTCCACCCAGGGCCACCCAGAATTTTAGGTGGTAGAAAGAACAGGAAGCACACAATAAAATACAATATGTACCTTCCTTGAAAGGGAATCAAACTCGCTTCTTTTGCAGGCAAGGCAAGGAACCTAACCATTACACCCCAAATGCCAATAAGGCCTTTTAAATATTATTTTAATGTAGGTGTTTTTGTTTTCCATTGACATCTACATCATTTATGAGATAGGCTTCAACACTGCCTGACAGGGCCAACCTGGGCTGAGAGGGATTACAACATCCCAGAAGAAAGATCAAGATACCAGATAAAAATGATTTCCCCAACAGGAGTCAAACTCTGGTCTTCTGCATGCAACAGCAAAGCGCCTAACCTCTACATCTCAGACACCCGTCCAGTTAAGTCTAAGTAAAACACAAAATATTAGAATAGAAATCCCCACCCCACAAGATCATTAAAAAGCCACAACAGTGTCCCATGCCAGTTTCAAAAACCTGGAACCGTACCCAAATTTGTCCTCTTCTGACTTTATACACACTAAGACTTTTACTTCATTTGGGTAATATTAGGGTTATGCTGAAACTTTTGTGGGTTATCTTAAAAGTTGGAATCAACCATAAGTCAATGCAGCACTATCAGTATTTTCCCAGAATTTGTTCGTTTTGTTTGAGTAGGTGTTTTACCTCTCAGCTTTCAGTTTCACCAGTCAAGATGTATGCAGGAACACAGAAAAGAGATAAAAGACTGCACCACAACACCCACTTCTGACAGAACACGCAGCAGACAAACATAAAAACACTCCTCAGTGGCCACCACTACCTAAGCCTTGGGGCTCTCTCCCACCAGGCTTACAACTCCACAATTACAACAAGGACACAATAAATTGTTACAAGAACTTTGACACAAAAATACGATAATTCCAAACAAAACAGCTGGAAAATTAAAATAAGTCAATTCTACACAAACACACCAGTAGGCTACATAGTATCATCTCTTCAGACACAACTATCAATAAAATGACTACATAGACTTCCGCTATGGCACAACTTTGTACAAAATAACAAATGCTGCTTCTAGCAACGATTTGAGCATCAACATTATAAAACACATAATATGAATCATTTCCAGGGCATGATAAAGCACAAGCCAAGGACCTTGATATGAATAAATGCATGCAAAACTACCATCACCTCCCTGAAGTACAATAGTACATCAGATGGAGGCTAACACATGGGAAGGGCTCAACAAGAAACAGCAGATGAAAGAAACAAAACAAAAAATGAAACAAACATAACAAGAAATTCAAACAAAAAATGAAACAAACATAACAAGAAATTCAAACACAAAAGTCAATGACCACAAAAACTAAATGAAATAAATTACTTACTAAAATAATATGCATGACTTACAAATGATTATCTTCAACAGAAGAGTTCACAAGAAGATTCCTTTCCCTCTTGTTAAATGGCATGCAGAGAACATACCACCATAACACCAGCCAGCAAGCTCTTGCAAAAATGTTATAAGCCCGAAAAGCTAAATTTTTCAGGAGAAAGAAAACAGTTTCATTCTTTTTAAAAATTGTACCTACATTATTATAATGCATCTAGAATTTGAAATTTGATTTTAAAAACTTCTCTTGGGCGTGTGCAACCAATACTACAAATTAAGAAACGGCAGTTCAAAACCCTTTTTCTAACATTTGGACTTGGCACATCTGAACAGCAGACAAACAATAAGCTAATAATGATGAAATATGCCATAACAACAGCAACAACTTCAGGAGTACAGGTAGTGCTCTCCAAAACTACGGTACTACTTGCTTTCCCTTCTTTGATTAGAGTTGTGCCATGGATCAAAGTGTTCTTCTCTCTCATCAACAGAATTAGTGTCATCTAAAGGGAAGACAACTTTGACACCGACTGCCGGTCAGGGATGACCCTGGTCGAGCGGGAGAGGAATGCCGCACCCCAGCGGAAAGAGTAGAATGACAGAGGAGCTCAATACTGTTTCTTCCTACTCAAAGTGAGAATTAAAGACTCTCTCATGCACACGTGGTAAAGAGCTAAAAAATGATACCACAGCCATCAGTTTCAGAATTTTTGTGTGCATCTTTTAAACACAATAAGGGCTCCCAAAACGCCATGTCCACTAATTACCACACCACCCATCACAAAAATAAACCCAATTTGGAGAACAGTTTGGGAAACTCCCCACAAGGAAAAAAAACTGCATGCCATTACCATAGGGAAAACCAGATCCATGGCATAAACAAAACAACCCCTCTTGGCATGTCCAGCTGAGATTCTTCGACTATGCTGAGATTAAAGTTTGAGATAACACATCCCCGATACTGTATAAATGAAGCAACAAAAGATAAAAGATCCATGTCAGAAATGATCTGCTGAATAATCAATGAAAGAAGTTCAACAAAAATTGAAAACAATGAATTTTATATGAACAGAAAAGAATCAGAAACATAGTTCTTTTTTTTTTTTAAACAAGTTGACCAATCAAATGGTCTAATGGGAAAACAAAAGATAAAAAATATGAGACATGTTGAGTAACATTTTTTAAACAACTCTTGAGATGTTACCGCAGCGTGAATCAGTGTGTAGAAATCAGTTCAGTAAATAACAGCCACATATTATTTCCCCAATTTGAAGAACACGATGTGATAAGGTAGTGAAAGCTCTATGGGTAAAATGTTGCTCCTTACAACGATTTTAAACCTTAGCACATCTGACATACGGGGAATATGGCAATGGAAGAAAACAGTCATTACATTACATGTACAAAAAGAATTAACAGGCTAATGAGAGAACCTGGAGATGTCTAGTCTAAATACGACATTTAAAAAATAAAATATTAGTTCAAATTCTTTTTTTTTAAACAAAAAAACTGCACCTCTGCCTGCAGCAGGAAGAACGCTTTAAGTAAAGTTACTTTTCCAACAGTGATTAGCAAGCAAATTTCGAAAGTCAAGCTGAGATTCAATCACTACATGTACATGGAGAAAATATCTGGACCAGTTTGTACAAAGACTTATCTAATATAAAAAAAGAATATGCCCAGTTGTGCGAAAATTGGCAGTTCCTGAAAATCCAGTTAACAGGCTAAACACTAAAAGTAAGATTGCTGTAAAAAATAAACGCACAAGCTGTGCTACTGTTGTCTCCGAGAAACTGCAACAGCTAAGAACACATTTCTGTACATACAAAAACTTTAAGGGTTGTACAATCTACAAACACAATGCCACCTAAGCAACAAAAGGCTGTCACATCATTTTCTGCTTAAGTTGAGACAATAAATTAACATTTGTATAATATACACATGATACACAATTGACAGAAATGCTTGTTTGATTTATGATTGTAGGCGCAGCAAATGACCCAACGCTTTATACGAACTCGGAACCAAAAGTTTTACAGCAAGTTCCAAGTTTCCCTGTTGATTATATATATGCATTTCAAATCTATCTCTCCAAAAAGAAAGGAAATTTGCTGAGTATTCCAGTTGAAAAGCGGTAAAATACTGCCCCTCCCACTTGAATTATATTTCCACGCCAGCTTTTTTTATATGTTGGTATAGTTGTGAAGAGATAGATCCTCAAGAGACAAAATGCACAACATTTTGAAGATGGAACATTCGATCATGCTCATTAGGCTGAAAGGATATATTCTAGCGCGAAAGTGAAAAATAATTCGGAACCCACACAAACTCTAAATTAACCTTTAACTTCCTGTGCGGCAGACAATCCTTTCATGTCTAAAACCTACAGCACCATGGCCCGCTGACTTAATCAGGACAGCTACACATTAAGGAAGATGATCACCAGGAAGAAACTCCTCCTGCTTGAGTTCAAACAAAAGAAGCCCATCAACAAGAAGAAAGTAGCCATAGTTAGCGCTGGAAAAAGAAAAACGAACACGCAAAAAAAAGACAAAAAGAAGCAAAAGGAAATAGGGCATATTGGTGGCGCTCTCCTAGCACCAGCGGAGCTGTCCTTTGTGAGGTGGTGCCCTTCACACCAACAACCAACATGGTGAGCAGGAGAAACCCATATAAGCAAGTCTGTGAATAACTATTTGTGTATCTACAAAACTTTGAAAATTCAAAGCTTCTATGTGGCAACGAGTCGTTTCTCTGCTTAATCGCATAAAAACTCGTGTTTATTTAATATACAAGCATCTTACCAGTTTTCTCATCCAACTTGACCCACCATTAATATGAAGTCTCCTGTGGAAACATACCAAGGAATGTAACATAAAATTGAAATGACTTGCTTTTTCCACTCCAAAGACAGATTAATTATCATCAAAAAGAGGCAACCTGACTAGAAGATCAGTTTAGCAAAATAACAAATACACAAAATAACTGCATACTTTAAACTTTAAAGAAAGCACAAAACATCAAATGAATCAGAAATAAGATTTCACATCCAAAGGGGGAAAAAAGGACATGTACTGGATAGAAAAGAGAAGAGAAGTTGCAGCAAATGAATGCTTGCAAGCGATACTTCAAATCAGATGAAAGGAAGAAAGGCCATACTGCTTTTTGGGGAGGAAACGGAGAAGTGTTGTGGAAATGTCACTTACAATAAAAATTGTAAAGAAGAGAAAAGAGGAAACCAGTATTGCGCAACAACTGAAACCCAGAACTGACTCTAGACAGGCCAAGAAGCAGGAAATTACAAACATCTGTCACAGAAAGGTGAAATAAGGCGCTCATCAATTTTTGGATATATAGATTTATAATCTTAAGGCCTATTCTTTTGCCTTGCTTTGAAGAAAAGACAATTTTTCATAAAAACCCACTCGTGAATAGAAGTAGATATATATTTGCAATTGAAGGAGGTAGGGGTCATCTGGTGTCAGAGATAAAATAAGCGAGAAAATAGTCACCCAAGTTTCGTAACTTCCAAAGGTGTGTATTTAATCAAAGTTTTTCAGTAAATTCTATGCAAGAATTAATGCATTTTTAAAGCAGACATACAAGGTGTTGACCCCAAAACAAAACAAAAAATTATGAAAATTGCCAAATGAGCTGAAAAATATTGGTTTCTTCCATTTCATTATTTTGACGAGCAACTGATTTCCTTACCATGTCACATATTTACCCCCGTGGGAAAAAAAATTACTCAATCTCGATAATTTAAAGGAGGTTCTGAATATCTAAATTAATACGACTTTAATACAGATGTGAAGAGAAAACTACGTTAAAAACACAAGAGATGTAGTGAAAGACTAATGAACAAAGTTCATCACTACCTGTAAACTGATGGTATTATACAACATGGCTGGCTCACTTATAACAGGGTTATAAGTACCACCTGTAAGCTCCAAGTTCCCAAGCCACGGCAGAAGGTGGGTGTTTATGACCTTCATTGCCTCCCCTGCCCAGACATTTACCACAAATGTTGATATGCGAACGAGAAAAGCAAAGAGGAAAGAAAAGACATTACCATATGACATGCACATGTGCACTCTGTTTGACATTTTCTCTCAAGGACAAAAGGGCACAAACAACGTGATGTTCAGGAAATTTCCAAGGCACGCGTGTACATCATCAACATTTCCCTGACAGGAGCCATTTTGTTCCCAAGGTGATAAACAGACTTTTCCCATCCTGTACTTTCTGCTTATTTCATTACATTGATGATTTATCATTTAGGGGAAAACAACTACCTCAACAGAGCAACACTCAGCAAGCGCTGAAGAAAAATAGTAACAGCTAGTAATTTTTAGCTTTTAGTGAGTTTTACGGCACTTGCAACAAAAATAGGCCATATAACAGAAAAAAATGCTTGAGTGACAAAAAAACAAAAGATGTACAACTGTCACTCCAAACACACACACACTCCCCCCCAACATAAAAAGTTACTTTTTTCCATTTTCAACACAGAAATAGCAACTTTTCAATCAGCCTCAAAGATTTTTAAAAAAACAAGACGTTATTAAGTTTTGCTTCTCAACTTTAGACGGCTGCTCTCATAAGCCACTCTGTTGATGAACAAATGAGTTCACCTGTACCAGATCGATTTCGCCATGTGTCTCAGTTACGTGGAAGTGGATCTGGGTAAAGCAATGGTATCTGTATCAAAAGGTTGTGGATGAGATGAACTAAGAAAGCAGAGCCAGAAACTTTGGCACCGAACAAGAAGCAGGATAAGCAAACTGCTCTCGAGAAACCAATCAAGTCCTCAAAGAAGCCACAACTTGCAATTGTACGTTTGTACCTCCTCTCCAATACAACAACACGCACACACAAGGAGAACAAAAATTGTTTTAAAAAGCACAAAAATCTTAAATAACTTTAAAAAGAATCAAAACACATCTGGATTCCTCCAACACTTGATGATTGCTGCATAATGCTTGTGCCACATCTCATGACGAAAAGCATCATGGATGACCACAGGCTAATATCAATATTCTTTGGAATTGCATACATCAGAAACACATCGCCTACGTTATAGGCATCAATAACATCACATGAGATCAGATCAGCTGTTCACACTGTCAAGATTTTTTTTTTAAATGCTGCACAAGATCTTCACAAACTCCATACTTCAGTCAATAATTTCATAAACGGCAGTTAACAAACAAAAGCCACATTTGTCATTTAAGAATTGTTCAATCCTCCATACGTTTTTCCTAATTTATAACGCTTAGCAAAGGGGAAAACTGCATATAAAGATGATATGACAATTTCTCAACAATTATATTATTAATGGTTAGCTGGACAAACAAAAACCAGTGATGATGATAATATGATTATTCCTCATAATAAGAGGAACTCTGCTTATCTTCTACAATGTGCAAAGTCAATACTGGGACAGCAGCACTTTTGGCTTTTACCCAGTGGAACAGCTGGGATATATAGAACAACACAGAAAAAAGCACATTGTACTTCACTACCAAGCTGCAGAAAAGATGAGTGGTAGGCCAACATCTCATTCATTTGTCTACTAATTTCTTTTTTAAACTGTTTTCATAAATCCTTCCCTTCAGTGCACGTGTCCAGAATCATCTAAAACAGAGAAGCGCCAAAAGGTCATTAAAAAAAAATTTTAATCCTAAACCGTGAGAAAACGCGGGCAGGGGGACTCAGAATTTACTGATGATATGGTCAAAATATATCTTGTATCCTTAGAAATCAGACAAAATCCAGACAAGTTTAAATATCCTGTGAATAAGCACTTCTGAATCATACTGTGGTAGTGTTCACATCACAAGCAAGCTACTCTGACTTAAAGTACAGTACCTAAAGTACATCATAGCATGATTCAGTACAGCTCAAATTAGAGATAAAGGAATAAATCCTAAATTTTTCAGTCGACAAACTTTCCCAATTCTCACATGAAAAATCTCTATATATATCCGTAACAAGAACAAAACCAGTTTCTACTGTAATTTGACCTTTTTGAAGGCTAAAGAAATCAGAATTAAGTAGATCAAGCTATATCCCCATCAAAACAGAAACCAAAAGAGAGGTACTACTCTCTTGATTCAATCTGAAACCCCACCAAAAAAAAACAATTAAAAACAGAAACAAATTTTAAAAAGCAGTCCTGTTGTTCAAGTTGCCTTTTAAGTTATCTAGGATCAAAGCTTCTTTATGATACATATATTCATAGAGGAAACCGCAGCATTCTGCAGCTGAAATAAGTTATCATAATATGGAGACGGTACGTCATTAAATGAAAAAGAGGATATCAATTGAAAGACAATTCTTACAAAGTTCGCTTATTTCGAACTCTTTACTGTATCAAAAGACTCATGGGGGACTGTCTCATAAATATCTAAAAAATACCTAACATGGGAAAATATACCAAAAGATCTATTGAGGAAAGCCTTCATTAGGAGCAACGAAGAAACCAGGAAACTCAACGCAAGGCAACAGTACAAACAAAGGGACCCACTTTCTTTTCAGTGAAAATAATGTTACCCTCTAAGACTCCTTTGGGAACATTTGAAATAAAACAGGGAAAATTACAAATTTGATGATTGCTCAAAACTGCGTAACAAAATAGAAACAGACATTATTACAAAATATTTATAATGATATCCGTATGGGGGCAGGAAGGAGATTCAGAGATGATTTTCATGTTTAAGCAGAAAGAAACGGCCAAAGCTGAACTTTAGAGTTCATCCCTTGAGCCACTCTCCGAGCTTCGAAGGCCACTGAGAAAGGTGTTGATGGAGCAGAGGCCCAGACTAACCATCTGGTCATCTGCACACGCCGGCAGGGCCTGGGTGATGACATCACCGTTATACAACACTCGCACGTACCTCTGTCGGTGCCGATTAGACAACATGTGCCTGGTCACTCCCAGCTTCTCAGCTGTTGTCGACGCCGACAGAGAGACGTTCGACTCCTTACTGTCACTCCTTTCCTTCATCAAAGAAGAGCTCTTGAAATGAAGACCTGTCTCACTGTCATTATACTGCAAGCCGGCTTCTAAACTTGTACTGTTCAAAGAGACATCATCTACCTTGGACAACTGGTAAATTGGTTGATGAGGAAGATGTTGAGAACTTTTCAGCTCAAACATTTCTACCACAAACCTCGACGCTGGAGCCATGTGCCTGTCCAGAGTTTTACTCATCGAAGCCAGGAAACTCAGCATCATCAACTCATCCACCGAAACAATCTTGAAATCATCAATTTTTCCTTCAACAGACACATTGTCTGGAGCATGTGTGGGATGTAACCATGCTTCAACAACCTCCCACAACGGGCGCATACGAGCCTGGGCATACGATCTGAATAACGGCTGAGACGAGATATATGAATTGAATGAATCAGATAAATCAAATAAATTATCGATTTCTCTTAGAGGTACTTGAATTGCTCCACGAATACCGTTTTCATCTCCACAAGCAACCCTGGATATATGAGAAATAATTTCTTTGACTGGAATGTTCTGGTGTTGCTTGAGAAACGCCCTTTTCTGTACATGCACTAGACCCTCCTTTAGAATGTGGCGCTCGCGATAAAACGATGGCTCCACAAAGTAGTGCAGGTCCTCATGCTCTCTACAACTGCACGGCCCCACTTGTGACTTGCATCGTTTACAAAAGTTGGCCGGTGACTTACGGATATCAAACCTGACAAACTGTTTCTCTGTGAGCAAGCCGTGCAGGACCGCAGACAGACTCTGGAACAAAACTTCCTCCCCCACCGTCTCGGCAAATTCTTTGTGAAGTGGCAGTGACTGAAAGCTGTGAAGCTTTTCACTATAACATCTTTGTAGATACTCTCCAAGCTGTATCAGCTGAGCTATACCATAAGAGCTCAAACTGTTGGTTTTGCAACCACGAGACTCTGTAAACCTTTTGAAGACCCGGAAATCGGACTTAGCTGAGCTGCTCTTCATCTCCTCCTTTAACAGGACAGTTTCTGGGTAGCTCTGAACTTTGACAGAGGCGTGTCTCTGTGCGAACTCCTGGAACCGACACTCAGCCGAGCTGGTTTGTGACATCTCCACTAGCCCATGGACTCTCTCCACCGGAGTGCGCACCCCAGGTGTCATAGCAACAAAAACCTTTTCAAGTTCAAACCCTTTCACAGGAGTTCCTGAAAAACAAAAGAAATTTTTTTTAATGTTTATGATATAATGTTTAACCAAAAACAAAATTTCAGTTTTCGCTTTAGTAAGAGTTTTTGTGTAATTGGAACACAATAACGTCATATAAGTGCTGAAGATTAGATGTTTCACAACAGAGAAACAACCACAAAAAAGAAAGAGGAGAGATAAGGATGATAGATGTTTGATAGTAAAGAAGGAGCAAACCACACCAGAGCACCTGCCAACCACCCACTAGAAACAAAATTAATTCAATTATAAACACTAACACAATGAACAACTGATTTCTCTGCGATCCCCGTGACTGTCCTTCAGTTTGATAAATTAACAGACATTCTACAATTTATCTTGTATTCCTGTCTCAAAATCTGAAAAACAAACAAAATAGTTTACCCCGGTTGACACTTCCTATCTTTATACAGTTTAAAAGTTTGTTAAATCTCAAAAGAGTTTAATCAGCAGGGAGGGTAAACACACCACGATGTAAGCAGATAGATCTGCCACGCAAAACCTGGGACATCAACAAAGATGGACTCACTATAAAGAGAGTGTGAGGCAATTTCTCCTCAAAAATCATTGATCAGACTTCACAACATAACATTTCTCAAATCAAAAACTTAATAAATGTGTAACGTGTAAAAGAAACAGAAATTCTTTTCCTGAAATAGCATCAAATACACCCCATGTATCTTTCATCTCCCAGCAAGTTGACTGCCCCATTCAAGAACATGTACAGGATTCCTTCGTCACATCATGGTTCACATTTCCTGAACTCTGTACATCGCCGCTTTTCCTAGCCTAAAATACTAATAGGTAAAACCAGAAAAGCTCTATTGACACACAATTGGCCCAGATGAGACATTTGTAGTACAGTAAATTCATCGCATCATTATCACCTCTTTCATTGTTTAGTACTGAAAAGCTGATTCATTGCCGTTATTCAAGTTGTAGCATCTTTACCGTAACCCAAACGAAATGTTCATTTTCATTAAATTATTAACAAATATATAAAAAACTTGTATCTTTTAAAAACCAATGATCTCTCATACAAGGGTAGAAAGAGTTATTAAGAGCGTGGAAGAGGTTTATAACTGTCTTAAGGGTGCCGAGAGGTCTTATGAAGACATAAAATACGTAATACAGTTGGGCACAGATGACATGAACACAGAAAACTCAAAATCATGGACAGCTCGCACAATTTGCTGTTCCCCAATTGATATCTCTGTCATCTTTCCTATCGATTTACCAAATAATGGATGTGTTGAACACATCATCTGTCAGTCCCTGGCATGTTTGAGTTATTCGTGCCCGACTGTAAATATATCATTTCTATTAGCTGATTTTCCCATATCGCCGGAGACTCTAGAACAAATATCCCAAGATAGTCAAGGGAATACTGTATCATGATTCTGCGACATAAGCATTCGCTAACATTTACATTTTTACTACTTAATATACAGTACAGGATATTTTGAAGGATAGGCTTTGATGGCATGCAGAAACTTAGCTACATGTGGTTTAGAATTTGCAGGGCTAATAACATAAGTCACTTTGAGTTCAGTCCATCCTTTTACCAGACAAAAAAAGGTCAGTACTAGTCAAAAGGAATGATACATGTTTCAAGACTTGTCACTGATCTAGAAGCTTTTGACCTTTCACCCTTCTTGCTATTGTGACATCTTTGCTGGTGGAATTCATATACATGTACATGCCCTTTAACACTCCCACTCCACTACCCCCCTTTTCCCCCATCCACTCCACCCTCATCTCAATTTACTAGCCCAACACATGCAAAGAGTAGTAATAAATCAGTTCAAATTACAATACACGTGGGGAGATGTGTAAAACAAATCCCCCAGCATCAGTCCCCACAAGATCAGGGGGGAAGAGTGTGGAGGTGTCAGAATTCACAATCAATACAACAGAATATATTACATTACTTCAGCATCCCACACAGTTTAGTTATGAAGTGAATACAACAAGCACTACGCACTAGACACTACAGTAATGGTAAATAGCGATGGTAAAAGAGTACTGTCACTTCTGCCAGGAGCTGTGAACATGATTGCGTCAAAAGTATTCACTTAAGCATTCCAAGATTCTTGAGGGATGCACACACACAGAAAGTGAAAAAGAGAAAAACAAAGAAGCAGAAAGATCTAGAAGGGACAAAGATTATGAGAGAGAACTCAGTTTATTTTTAGCTTTAGAAACAGCACTTCGCTACAAATAGCTGTCAGTCAGGGTAGGGAAAAAGCAAGGCAGACAGACAGACGGACAGACTAAAATCTTTCAAGAAAAGAGAAAAAGTAAAACTTACCTACAAGGGGGGCCTTTTTCCCCCCCTGGACGTAGATTTTTTTTTTACGTCCCTATCAATAAAATGTATATCATTTAGGAGGCGGGCTTCCGACCTTGCCGGTCAGGGCCAACTCAGGCTGAAAGGGATACATTCCAGCAGAAAGACTGGGGTTCTCGGTAAAAGTTTCTTCCCCACTCAGGAATCAAACTCGGGTCTCCTGCAGGCTTAGGCAAAGTGCCAAACCACTTCACCACAGACGCCAGTCAAGTAGGACTCTCTAACCAACCAACCACCCACAAGAAAGAAAAAACAGACAGGCGAGAGAGTGAGAAAGACAGATTTCCCTGCTGTTAATTTTCAGTTGATAATGCTCCAACAAACACCTGTCCAAGACTAATCACCTGTACAAATAGCCAGTTCCCACTTGCCCTCTTTACTTTGCATGTTTTTCTATGTTATAATGACATTGTCCAAACGGAACACCAGTGTAAAATGACTACTTTTACTTTTCTCCTCGGCAGTGAGTGGTTGTCTTGAACAAGTTCGACTGTACACTCCACTCTAAGGAGAGCTGAATAAAAGAAACTGAGACAGAAGCAAAGCTCAAATTATACAAAAGAAACCATAAACACACTGAGTTACTACAGGGGGAAAAAGGTACCTTCTCTGCCATAGAATTTTTCGGAGCATATTTCTGAGATTCGCGCATGTTGCGCATAAGCGAGTGTTGGAAGCGACTCGGACGCAGTGGTAGCGAGCAGAGCCGACAGACAAAGTAGGGCCGGGACCCAGGACAGCAACAGCCGGTCACCTGGTGAAAGAAAAGAAGAAAAAAAAGAATTTTAACATTTCGTTAATCAATAACTACAAGTTGAACCCCACCCACCAGACATAAGAAAGTCGTCATAAAGATGGAACACTTGGCCCGGTTGTGAAAGAAAAAAATGGGGGGGGGGAGAGAAAGAAGGAATGAGTGAAAGGGAACTGAATTATCAAATACAATAGAAGTGCCAACTGGCTTCGGAAGATATCCTGAACTTTTCGGTACACGTGGAACCGCTGCACGCCCAAAGAATCAAACTTTTTTTTTTTTAGTTGAGGGTTTTACGGCGCTCGAAACTGTATAAGGTCATAAGAGCCCCAAGGGGTGGGTGTCAACACAGAAGTCCTTACAGGGAATCAGACTTACTCTGCTCACCTCTAGCTCTAGCTATTCAACAGCACAAGGTCTGCTTCTATTATCAAGGCACCCCGGAAATGGCGGGTCACAAGAGTGTGACCAACATACAAAAGAAGTAGAGGAAAATGACAATAGTAAGGATTAGGAAAAAAAACCCAGCAGTTCCCTGTTGTAGATAAGGCACAGTTATGAGCGTGACATGATGAATCAGCCCATTTACAATTCTACAGTGCTTGAACGAGAAATGTCTCCCCTTTGGGAATGGCCTAAAGACACTACAGTCAGTGGCCCTGCCCCGGGGGTGAATCAAAATGTACAGATCATAATTACTGTCTTACACAAAGGTCACCATCCTTTTTTCAAAGTGGCCCGGATAACTAGGAAAATGCCAAGCACAGGGGAGAGAACTATTTTGTTCAAAGCAATAAACTGAACTCATTTGTTTAAAAGTCAACCAACGTATTGATGACGTTTTAGTAACCAGATCATATTAAATAAATGTGTCATGTTCTGCAGCCAAAACTGCGGCGGTTTAGCCTCCGAAAGCAACTGATAAACACACGCGCGCGGCGCGCGTGCACGACACACAAACACGCGGCGCACGCATACCCAGTACACACGCGTAAACGCACATACACACCCACGCACGGGCCCGACAACAGTGTCTACAGCAATGTCCCACAGCAATAAGGATGTTATTATAATAATTATTATAATAATATCGGTTCACGGTCAACCTTGCCTTCTTTAAGATCTAAGAAAGCCTAGCAGTCAACTTTATTTTCTTTACTATTATTGTAGAGGGTTTTAATGCGCTCGCAACTGCATAAGGTCATATGAGCGCCAAGGGGTGGGTGTCAAAAGAGAAGTCCTTACAAGGAATCAGACTTACTCTGCTCACCTCTCTAGCTTCAACAGCACAAGCAGTCAACTTAAATGCAGCCACAGGAAACCCCACACACACCGCACACATACAAAAAGTCAGACTCGTCACACCGGCGTTTGTGGGGTAGCGGTTTAGGCGCTTCGCTGTCACACGCAGGAGACCCGAGTTCGATTCCCGAGTGGGAAGACAATTTTTATCTAGTATCCCGTCGGTCTTTCTAGTGGTATGTTGTATCCCTCTCATCCCGAGTTGGCCCTGGTAGGCAGGTTCCTAAATGGTCTAAACTGTGTCGATGGGGGCATAAAAATATCTACATTAATTTTTTGTTTAAACCCACCGAACATAAACAAAAAGTCAGGCTAGTCACTGTTATAGTAGCAGCAGCATCCCAAAACGAGTATAATAAACAGCAACACGCTGAAACTTAAATATACAGGGTTTTTTGGGGGGGTTTGTTTTAGTAGAGGTTTTACGGCGCTCGCAACTGAATAGATAGATGTTTGATAGGAAAGAAGAAGCAAACCACACCAGAGCAAACGCCAACCACCCACTTAAAAAGACGGTCATGAATCCCCACCAACCAAGACCCAGACTCCTCTAAGAAGCTTTCACCCAAGAATCTCTACTACTTTACTAGTAGCAGTGAATCTTTGCCTTCACCCTCATCCACCCCGCACCGCAAGGTTAAAAATCAACAACAGAGAATCCGGAACTGATGCAGCAACCAGACGCATAAATTTACATTTTATACACACTGATAGACAATTACACAGACGCATGCACACGTTCGTACACATCTGGCACAGCTCAACGAACCAGCACACATGAAAAATATCTAAACTTTTACTTATATATTCTTAAAACTATTAATGAGGGAATTTTAAAGCCCTAGTCCACACATTCATGTTTTATCATTTAGGGGGCGGGCGTCCGATCATGTGCACCTGACGGCACTCTCTTTAGTTTTAGTAGAGATTTTACGGCACTCGCAATTGCATAAGGTCATATGAGCGCTCTCTTCATTTCCCGTAGGCTGCAGGCAAAGTTAAAGACAACAACAAAAAGAAGACAAAAAAGATAAGACAAAAAAGACACAAAAACATGAATGAGAAGTGCTATTTGCCGACGATTTTTAAAAATTTATTTTTTTATTTTTTTTTATTTTTTTTTGCATTGCTTGCTCAGAAAAACCCGGCATGAAAAACTGCTGACCTTTTTCCAAAGGCATGAGAGAACTTTGGACTCACAATACCCTGAGCTCAGCGCAGACAGAAGTTGTCTTCTTCCAACCTGTCTCTAGTGAGGTGCAGACCCCCCCCCAAACACAGAGATGGCTTCCATTATATTATTGGCAGTAGACTTGTCTTCAAATCCCAGCATCGATGAAGAAAAACCTTTTTAAATAAATAATATTATATTGCTCGTGCATTCATTGGTCGACTCAGAGCAAGGGTTTAGGACTGCTGAAGACATATTGCGCAGAGACCAAGTTTGAGCCTACAATAATTGTAATGCTGTGACCCACCTCCCCTGGAAAAAAAAAATCAGCAACAACAAAAAGCTCGCTGTAGTACGATGCCAGGACCTGGTCAGTGTACCAAAGCCATACCAAGAAGCTTCCTGACACGTAATCCTGAGGTGTGGGTTTAGGGGGTTTGACTGTTGAGGCTCAGCTCTGTCCCACTTTGCGTCCTTGGGAAAGGCATTTTACAAAAATTTTCCAATTTGACTCTGCCCTATCATCAGAGATGGATGTTAAATCTGGAGGTCCCACTTCTTACATAACCTTTAGCCCCCACCCATCAAAGTACATAATTTATCTAAGCACTAAGCACCATCAGCCAATGCCACCGCTCCGCTGGATTTTACAACAATTCTTTGAACTTTTTTTCTCAAATGGCCATACGATCAGGACAGCAGGCAGTGGTATCAGTGGTCAAATTATTAACTGCACACCTCTGGCTAGCTAGGAAACTTTCCTTGCTGGAGTATTATATAATATATATATAAACAAAGGTGAGATTTCACACCCACACTATCCCCACCAACTGTACAGCACCAAGCTCACACAGATGGGGTGACAACAATGCCTACTGCATAGACAGCTAACCTCAAGCCGCACTCTTTGAGTCTTACTCCATCCCCCTTTCCTCGCCAAGTGGCATGGCGTAAAGATTCGAGCCCTTCGAACTGACCTTGGAATTTTTCTTCCAAATCAAGGTTGAGAGACTCAAAGCATTTTCCGTCTTGGACAGGTTAAAGCCTCAGAAGCGAAGGAATGTCTCATTCCAGGTTGAGCACATTTCCGTCTTAGATTGGTGTGTGATTATAGAGGAATTTATCAAGGGGGTAACCGGACAATTCTGTTAGGACAGATTTGACTGTATTTCATTCGTTGTGATTCCACAGCACCATGAACTACCGACCTGTTCTTTTCGACAAGAAATGAGTCAAATGCATATTGAGTGACGGTGAGTGATTATCCCAAAACATAGCCAAAACTGCTCTTACAACCATTTGTCCAAGACAATTACCTGTACAAACGACCACTTCCCATCATCATGTCTATTTTTTTTTACTTGAATAATATTTTTTTTATGGATTTGAAGTTCTGGATGGAAATGTGTAAGCCTATTTATTAATTAGGCAGGATGAAGAAACTGATTCACTTTGAAATGTTCTGTCTGAAGGGGATAAATGGAAACGACACAGAGCAATAAAAGTAAAACTAAAAGGCTTTTTTATACATATATATAGATCTACTTGTTCAACTGTTTCGTAAGATGAACATATTTATTTCTGAAAAAACTCTGCGAGAATTCAGACATGGACAGGTAGGTCCTATCTGCAAGAACTCACACTCATACAAATACATATATATATATATAATGTGATAATTTTTTTAATGATGCCGGCATTCCATTAAAGTTAAAGCTTCCAGAAGAATAAAAGTGAGTGAGAAGAGAAGAAGTACAAGAAATCTTGATTGATCAAATTTACTGCCTGAATTGCCTGAATACTGAATGAACAACAAGAGTTCAAATAAGCATCTTTTTCTAGTGGACATGTTTGAGACAATTTCTCCCCCTATCTCTATCTTTCATAGAAATCTCTGCGTAAATCATGGTCTCTGAGTTGCAGGAGGCACCAGCCAGTGAGGTGGTCACGTTTTGCCGAGTGACCAGTTACCAGCCAATACGAATGCTTGTTAGTTTTGGAAGGTGAAGTTTAGAGAAGAGTTTACAGCATTCGCAACTGCTTATTATGATATACCGTCATTTGAGCGGGCCGAATACATTTTGAGCATTTTCAGTTTGGTAGGAGTTAATCTAATACTTTGCCCAGGTGGTAACCCAAGCATGCAACTCTTATTGATTTTAGGACCACCAAGGGACCTTTAATGTGTGCAACTTGAACACAAAACCTCCAAGGTTTTTTCGCCCTTATCCATGAAGGATAGAGATGTTCGATCTCACCTACCCCTGCCCTAAGATCATGGGTGTGGTTGAAAGATAGCAGTGAAAAGGAGCCAGGAGCAACAGTGAAAGAGTCAAGAGCCTAGAGGAGGGGTGAAGGGGGCAGAAAGTGGAGATGATAGCAGATGATAGAACATGATTAGAGAGCAGGAAAGGAGAGTGAGAGAAAAAAAATTTTGAGAAGAAAATGTCCTTTTACTGTTAGGTTTCAAACCCAGGACCTATAAAATGAGAGGCGATCATCGTACCACTAGACCACCAGAGCCCCCCATAAGAAATGTGACAGTTTACTTCAAAATAAACACAGAAACATTATCCATCCAGTATGTTCATAGTATGGCTGGTAGGACTAACATAGAAGTTAGATTGTCTCAGAGAAGGGTCTGTTCATTGACAATTTAAACGAAAAGACCCCGTTTTTCAATTGGTTCTAGTTTCAGTTTGTAGCTGCCAGTTCATAATAATTTCTAACCTCATCTGATTGCACAAAACGGCTGTAATTTGCTAATAATTAATTTTTAAGAAAAAAAAATGACATGAATGCACATTCAGATGTGACTGTAGATTGAATAAATTAGACACACACATAAAAAACCTTAAGTCTAAGTAATTTGTGATTGTAAATTTACTACTTTGTTGTTTTATTTATTCGCCCATATAAATATAATATTTTGTGCTGTTTGCAGGGCGGGCTGCCCACCCACCAGCAAATATAAAATAAATTAATAATCTGGCTAAAAATGTATAATACGGCTATGGATCGTTTTCTTCCCTGGGATGTCACAGACAGGGGTTGTAGTCAAGCAAGTATAAAAGTAACCTAAACAAAGGCATGATGATGAAAAAGAGGTCTTGACAGGCTCATCACTGGTCGAGTTAAGAAAAAAAGGGACCTAAAAAGGGGTTAATTAATTTATTAAGTCTCAAACAATGATAAATCTTTATAAAAAAGACTTTCGTAACCTACCCTAACCCTTTATTCTACTCTGTCTCTTAGTGATTGCTCATTACCGAAGTCCTCCCCCAAAAATACCTCTCACTATTACTAGTCTTGGCTGTCACACACAGCACAAAAAGAAAGCAATTTGCAAACACCTTGCCAACCTCGTTAACCTTACTCCTGGCTTTGGAAAGTCTCAAATACAGTGGAGTCCACGTATAACGAGTCCTGAAATAACGAGAAGTCTGTTATAAAGACACTTTTCTAAAACCCTGTTTTTTTCCTTCTTTATCTTTGTTTTATTAAATACTGCTATAGCGCAATCAGACAAACACTTGAGTCAGTTATAGCGGAATATTGCTGCTGCTCTGCACAGCGCATCTATAGGCCAGTTATACATTATAGAACTTCGCCAGCTGAGAAACTTAATTGTTGGTGATCTAGCGAAACCGAGGACCTTACACCTCCTTGAACGAAACAAAGAAGGAGAGAGCCCACGTCAACAATGAAGGCCGGAGCCAATGAGTGGGGAGGGTGTTGTATACACAGACAAGCAGAACGCATCGTGAGATTATCTAGGCCTAGCATGTTTCTCACTTTTCCAATGCGCGGATGGAGAGGTCACAGTACTAAACTGTGATGGATGGAGCGAATGTGTGACGTGAGCAAGGCACCACAGGGTGTGGTGGAGTGGGGGACGACACAGCGGGCGAGTTCGCCTAGAGCCCTTTCTTTCCGATCGCCAACGCCGAGCTGTCAACATCGCTAGCGCTAGAGAAAGAAACCTGATTCAATTTTTGATCAAGTAAGACCTAGAGGTCATGTTGAACAAAATAATCATCAGGGCAGATTACAAAAAGAAATAAAAGGAGCACCAAACTCATAGATTAGACCCACTTTATTATTTCCCTTGAATTTATAACTGGACCCCTTATAACAAGAATCCTTATAACGCACATTTCGCACCGGTCCCTCTCTCTCGTTATAACAGGATTCCACTGTATAATGTTTTTCTAAGGGCAAAGTGGCACTGAGCGACTACAACGGCTCAAGGCAAAAAGAATGCCGAAGTTAGACATCTGCACGTGACATAGTGACATAGACTCTACTGTCCAAGTCTGGTAGTTTTTCTCCCCTTATACACCAGTACACAAGGAAGGTCGACAGTGAGTTGGGATAGCCGAAATGTTTTTAAAGGAAGGACTTCTGTAACAAGCGACTACCCCACAAACAAAGAAGAAACCTAACCCTAACCATTGACCCAACCCCTAGTCACATCCTTACCCTTGACCCTAACCCTACCCAAAACCCTAACCCTTTATCTATTCTATTCTTTCATAGTGATCGTTCGCTACGGAATTCCTCCCTTTTTAAACATCGGAATCAAGGGTACTACGATCATATTTTCGTAAAAGAGAACAGAATAAAAATCGCCACAATTCCGCGAAATATAATGATGGGCAGTGCTGTGTTTGTTCTGTCCAGTTTGTTTTACCGTCATAAGAACAATTTGATTGATTAATATAGTTGGCTCAGTAGTTTACAATACATGATAATCAGATTTTACATTCATTCCCTTTCTAAAAAGTTAAAGATCTGGATCTAGATCTAGATCAATAAAAAAAAATAATTGAAAAACATGGCGAGAAATTATAGCCCATAATTTTAAATTGTACTTTAACTGTTTCCGTTCTCGAGAATTTTTGGTCATTGGCAAGATTTAGGCGTCATCTTTCATTCTGCCATTCTGCGAGGATTGGGAAGAAGCATTTTTTTAATCGAATTCAATTTCTAGAGCTAGAGATTTTTAAATGTCTGAATATTCAGATATTTCAGTTGTGGTGGGGGCAACGTTCCCAAACTATATTTCATTTGAAAATGCCTTTAAAAGGTACGAGAAAACAAGACTGCTCGACCTTGGCAGTAACCTATTTTGCATTTAGTCACCCCTAAAGCAAAAACTAATATCCTTCACGTACACAAAACAAAAACAAAAACCCATGTGTGGTTCCCCCCCCCCCCCCCCCATTCACACCTTATTATACACACACACACCCATATACACACGCACACTCACTCACACACACACACACACGCGCGCGCACGCGCCACTCACTCCATTCGCAAATTATCAACAAATCTCGAGAACGAAAACCGTTCGGAGAAATAGTTCAAATTTATTTTCACGAGCGTTCTGAGAAATAGAGCCAGCCAAATTAAATTCTATCCTAGATAGATCTAGATCTATATCTAGTCTGGAATCTAACATAGAAAAAATTTTGAGGAAAGAGGAAGGACTTCTGTAACGAGCGACCACCCCACCAAACACAATGAAGAAGAGACTTAACCCTAACCCAAACCCTAAACCCTACCCCAATATTCCACTGTCTCATAGTGGTCGCTCGTTATGGAAGTCCTCCCCCGAAAGGCTTAAACACAACTCCAAACTTGATAAGCTAAGTTCAGTTCTCGAAAGTAAAGGCAGGTAGACTCTAGTCTACTGTGAACTGTGAACTTAAACAAAAGATTATGGGGTCAACAAAAGGTCAATTCCAAGTCACGGAGAAATGACCTAGATTCTAGAAACTAGTGGAGGGACAAGATCTAGATTCTAGATCTAGATTCTAGACCTAGATCTATTCTAGATATAGATTAGATAGATCTATATTCTATATTATTCTAGATTAGCTTTCTTTACACTTTGACTTAACATAGCCTGCCGACACAAAAAGTTTACAGAAAATTAATTGTATCATGTCTATGGAACAGATCCCCGGCGGAGTGGTCTCGCACATGGTCAAGATTTTATTTATTGGCGGTAGGCCTAGAGGTCAGTCATCATCAGTTATGTCCAGTAGCCTAACACTGTACTGAAATGTGAATGTGCAATGTGAATGCCAAAAGTCAAAGAAATGTCAATGTTGTTAGGCCAAGATCTAAAAATACACCGTTGACGAGTTTATCTAAACAAAAAGTGTGAAAGCACGCTTGTACGTGCCGCGGAAAAGGTAACCATGCGAAAACTCACGTAAGCCGAAGCGAGGGTGACACCATGAACTTGAAAAGTTAAGCCTTTCTCCTTCCTTCCGCGAAACAAGCATGGGTCCCTGCGGTGATCGGACCACACCATAATTTGTCGGAGGACCGTGTCTTCCTTCCTCCATCCCATCTGTCCAACTGAAGCTCGAAAATTTTCGTGAACCCAACTGCTATTACATATTCCTCCTTATATTTCAGCACATTGTGCTCTGATGATGAAAGACACTCCTATGTCAGCTCGTCCATAGGCTTTCACCGGCTGCGGCTGCTGCTATCCACTAATACTATCCACCAACAACACACACACACACGCACGATGCTCGCTCGCCCCTCCTCGCCCTCTTCGCTCGCCGGCCGGCGCCTGGCGGCCTCACGTAGCCTAGTCGCTCGACATTGGCACACCGCGACACACCACAGGAGCTCGATATTCGAAATCGCCTACAATTTTTGACACATAATATCAAAGATAGTACAAGACAAGATGGGTCACTCAGCCTAAAAAGTGTCCGCAGGAAGTATGCTCTTTGCTTCAGATGGCGCTGCAGTCTGTTTTGAAGCTCTCTTTCATTTTTCCAGAAGAAGAATAGGAATAGCACCTCCTTGCGTGCGCAGATCGACTGCTGTTCATCAGCAGTTCGAGTTCGTTCAGTGCAGAGTTTTAGGTTTTTTATACTTTAACGACCCCTCCCCTTCCTTTTTAAAGTCAAATTAAACGAAGAAAACCCATCACCCTTTCCTCCGGAAGAGGTTTTTTGTCAGGGTACCCATTTTTAAAAAGCGTTCTTCCGAAATTTATCCCAAAACTTGCTAGTTTCACTTTGATTTTTAAAAACTCAAGTAGGGTAACTCTGTTCGCAAAGAGTGCGCTTTTGTGAAGAGGGCGCCACCAAATTTTGAGGACACTTTTTTAATTGGCTCAAAGAGAGAAGTGGCCCATCTTGTTATGTACTATCATTGATAATATCAAAGAGTCTACATATAGGCCTATTTACTATCTTTGATAATATCAGTTATCCGATACCAGACTTTTTTCTTTTTTTTTTTTCTTTTTTTAAAGCAGAACGTCTGATTTGTGAGTTCATTCTTCTTTTTTTTTTCTTTTTTTTTTTTGGGGGGGGGTGTTTTTTTTTGGGGGGGGGGGATTGTTTGTTTGGGTAGTTGTTATTTTGTTATTTTTTATTTGTGGGGGGGGGGGGTGGGAAGAGTTTGTGTGTCTAATATATTATGCATGTAGGCCTATATAATCAATAAAAGAATAAAATAATACAAGTTTTTTTAACGCTGTTCTGTATATTATGTATGTATGTAATCAATTAAATGAAACTGGTTTTAAAGCCCCCATCAACACAATCTAGATCATTTAGGAGATGTATTCCGAAAACTGCTCGTTCGGGCAAAACCAGGATGAGAGACAGACAATGTCCCAGCAAAAAATCCAAGACACTTGATAAAAAATTCTCCCCTCATGGGGATCGAACTTGATCAGGCCTTCTGTGTGCGAAGATGAAGCATAACCTATCTATCACTTTACCGAAGGTGATGGTATATAAAAAAAACATGTGTGCACGTGATTGTGAATATTGGATGTGCATTGTAATACAAATAGAAATAGTAATATATCTGCATTATGATATTATATTTTTTAATATAAAAAATGTTTGGTTAGTGTTTTATGGCGCTCTCAACTGCAAAAGGTCATTTGAGCGCACGGGACAAACCAAAATTTTCAGTTGGGCGGACATTTTGAATTTCACCCGGGTGGCAGCCGAAGCCTACTCTTGTCGATTTGGGACCACCAAAGGATCTTTAACGTGCGCAACTTGCACACGAGGCCTCCGAGATTTTTCACTCTTGTCCAAGAAGGCTAGGTGTAGATATTTCCTACCATAAAATCAGGGGTGCGGCTGAAAGACAGCAGTAAGAAGGAGCCAAGGAGAAGCAGTAGAAAGGCTGCAGAAAGAGTCAGGAGCCCAGAGGAGGTGGCAAAGGAGATGAGGGGGTGGAGGCAGAAAGTGGAGACGAAAGCAGACGACAGAACACTATTAGAGAACAGGAAAGGATGTGAACGGAAGAAAAAAAATTAGAGAAGAAAATTTTCCGTCACTTTATCCGAATTCGAACAGGACCTATAATTGAATAAGAGTCGAACACCTTAATCTCTAGGCCCACGAGAGCCCCCGGCCTATATCTGTCCCCGGGGTTTTATGAAAAAAAATTCTGAAATTATGCAAACTGAGCCAAAAAATGTGAAATTATGCGATTCTGTTAATTTTAACAAAGAATGATAAAAGAAAATAATAAGAAATTATGTGAGGTGCATAAAACCACGGGGACAGCTATATATATAT